TTAAGGTGACCCTTTCAATCCACTTATATTTACAGAAGAAGGAGTTGTCAAGGTCAATGCGAACGAAATACCTGGTTCTCAAGTGGAAACCGTTTGCAGGAGATAGCAACCTTGAACTGACAGAGAATGAGTTTCTAAGATAGCAGTCGAGAATGATTGAATGTGTTGATGCTGTGACGATTGAAGAGGCGAGAGAAATTAGAGAGCGCCAGGATATCGACCAAGAAAGTGCAACAGTTACGAAGCCAAGACGTGCAAGAAAGACACCACATAGGCTACTGACGATTTTGTATATTATGATTAGTAAAGGTGATACTTTAGTACTTTAATGGTTGGAACAATTGAAGAAAATATAAATGCAATGCTGTTCATTAGATCTATTTTTTGTTATGTAATAGTAAAACTGTCAATACTTCCACGAAGTCAAATAACTATTAAACATTATAGTCTTCTTCAGTATTGTATTTTTCAAATGAGCAACATCTGCAGCTAGCTTGTGATTGTATTTTTCTGTTTAATTTTGCTAAAGTGAACGTATGTATTAATATAATGGATGATAGCGAGGATAAACTGTCAAATTTTCTGAATAACGAAACAAAATTTAATTTATAAAGGGAAACAAGGGAGCATGGTTAAATTTTGGAAGGGAACAAGGGAACAAAGCGAAAATTTTGAAGGGAACACGGGAACAAGTACCCCCCCCCCCCTGGGAGGCCCTCAATACAGCAAGACCGAGGTTGGATATTTTCCCGTACTGCCCGAACGGTTGAGGTCAGTAAGTTTTTTATTATATGGCATTGTAAGTTTGTAAAAAATAAGAAAAAAGGTCACGCGAGGGCAAAGTACAAAGTCCGAAACATTTGCAAAAAAGAACAATTGTAAAAATGTTCTCTTGGTTAGTAAAACTACTCTACAGCCATAGGCGTACCGGAAGGAAAAAATTAGGGGGCGGAAATAAATTTGCCCGACTTTTTCGGATTGTGCCCGACCAGTGCCGAAAATTTTTTTTCTGGAACAAATTAATTTTGGCGACCTCTTAAAAAACACAAAAAGGCTTGTGTAAAAATACTAAAACAATTGTTCGCCTCAGGCTCATCAATTTTTGAATTTTTTAATTTTTGAATTTTTCAATTTTTTTCAATTTTTGAATTTTTCGATTTTTCTCCATTTTTGAATTTTTCAATTCTTGAATTTTTCGATTTTTCTCAATTTTTGAATTTTTCGATTTTGGAATTTTTTGATTGTTTTGATTTTTCGATTTTTGAATTATACGATTTTTCTCGATTTTTCAATTTTTCAATTTTGGAATTTTTCGATTTTGGAATTTTGTGATTTTTTCCATTTTTCAATTTTTTTAAATTTTTGAATTTTTTTATTTTTCTCCATTTTTGAATTTTTCAATTTTTGAATTTTTCGATCTTGGAATTTTTTTATTTTTTTTATTTTTCGATTTTTTTCAATTTTTGAATTTTTCGATTTTTGATTTTTTTGATTTTTCGATTTTTGAATTTTTCGATTTTTCTCGATTTTTGAATTTTTCAATTTTTGAATTTTTCGATTTTTCTCGATTTTTGAATTTTACGATTCCGGAATTTTTCGATTTTTGAATTTTTCGATTTTTTTCAATTTTTGAATTTTTCAATTTTTGAATTTTTCGATTTTGGAAATTTTTGATTTTTTTGATTTTTCGATTTTTGAATTTTTCGATTTTTCTCGATTTTTGAATTTTTCGATTTTTGAATTTTTTGATTTTTCGATTTTTGAATTTTTCGATTTTTTTCAATTTTTGAATTTTTCGACTTTGGAATTTTTTGATTTTTTCGATTTTTCGATCGATTTTTGAATTTTTCGATTTTTTTCAATTTTTGAATTTTTCGATTTTGGAAATTTTCGATTTTTGAATTTTTCGATTTTTCTCGATTTTTGAATTTTTCAATTTTTGAATTTTCCGATTTTTTTCAATTTTTGAATTTTTCGATTTTTCTCGATTTTTCAATTTTTCAATTTTGGAATTTTTTTATTTTTTTCAATTTTTGAAATTTTCGATTTTTTTCAATTTTCGAATTTTTCGATTTTGGAATTTTTAGATTTTTTTGATTTTTCGATTTTTGAATTTTTCGATTTTGGAATTTTTTAATTTTTTAATTTTCGATTTTTGCATTTATTGATTTTTTTCAATTTTTGAATTTTTCGATATTTTGCATTTTTAAATTTTTCGATTTTAGAATTTTTTGATTTTTTTGATTTTTCGGTATTTGAATTTCTCGATTTTTTTCAATTTTTGAATTTTGCGAATTTTCTGGATTTTTGAATTTTTCGATTTTGGAATTTTTTGATTTTTTGATTTTTCGATTTTTTTCAATTTTTGAATTTATCGATTTTTCTCGATTTTTTAATTTTTCAATTTTTGAATTTTGCGATTTTGCGATTTTGGAATTTTTTTATTTTTCAATTTTTGCATTTATTGATTTTTTCCAATTTTTGCATTTATTGATTTTTTCCAATTTTTGAATTTTTCGTTATTTTCAATTTTTGAATTTTTCGATTTTTGTATTTTTCGATTTTTGAATTTTTTGATTTTTTAGATTTTTCGATTTTCGCATTTTTTGATTTTTTTCAATTTTTGAATTTTTCGATTTTTCTCGATTTTTGAATTTTTCAATTTTTGAATTTTGCGATTTTGGAATTTTTTTATTTTTTTATTTTTCAATTTTTGCATTTATTGATTTTTTCCAATTTTTGCATTTATTGATTTTTTCCAATTTTTGAATTTTTCGTTATTTTCAATTTTTGAATTTTTCGATTTTTGTATTTTTCGATTTTTGAATTTTTTGATTTTTTAGATTTTTCGATTTTCGCATTTTTTGATTTTTTTCAATTTTTGAATTTTTCGATTTTTCTCGATTTTTGAATTTTTCAATTTTTGAATTTTGCGATTTTGGAATTTTTTTATTTTTTTATTTTTCAATTTTTGCATTTATTGATTTTTTCCAATTTTTGCATTTATTGATTTTTTCCAATTTTTGAATTTTTCGTTATTTTCAATTTTTGAATTTTTCGATTTTTGTATTTTTCGATTTTTGAATTTTTTGATTTTTTAGATTTTTCGATTTTCGCATTTTTTGATTTTTTTCAATTTTTGAATTTTTCGATTTTTCTCGATTTTTGAATTTTTCAATTTTTGAATTTTGCGATTTTGGAATTTTTTTATTTTTTTATTTTTCAATTTTTGCATTTATTGATTTTTTTCAATTTTTGAATTTTTGGACATTTTGAATTTTTGAATTTTTCGATTTTGGAATTTTTTGATTTTTTTGATTTTTCGTTTTTTGAATTTTTCGACTTTTTTTCAATTTTTGAATTTTTTGGTTTTTCTCCGATTTTTGAATTTTTCGATTTTGGATTTTTTTGATTTTTTTGATTTTTCGATTTTTTTCAATTTTTCAATTTTTCGATTTTGGAATTTTTTGATTTTTCGATTTTTGAACTTTTCGATTTTTGAATTTTTTTATTTTTTTCAATTTTTGAATTTTTCGATTTTTGAATTTTTCGATTTTTGAATTTTTGAATTTTCCGATTTTTCTGCATTTTTGAATTTTTCAATTTTCGAATTTTGCGATTTTGGAATTTTTTGATTTTTCGTTTTTTGAATTTTTCGATTTTTTTCAATTTTTGAATTTTTCGGTTTTTCTCCGATTTTTGAATTTTTCGATTTTGGATTTTTTTTGATTTTTTTGATTTTTCGATTTTTCGATTTTTTTCAATTTTTGAATTTTTCGAATTTGGAATTTTTTGATTTTTCGATTTTTGAACTTTTCGATTTTTTTCAATTTTTGAATTTTTCGATTTTTCTCGATTTTGGAATTTTTTATATTTTTATTTTTTCAATTTTTGCATTCATTGATTTCATTCAATTTTTGAATTTTTCGATATTTTCAATTTTTGAATTTTTCGATTTTGGAATTTTTTGATTTTTTTGATTTTTCGATTTTTGGATTTTTCGATTTTTTTCAATTTTTGAATTTTTCGGTTTTTCTCCGATTTTTGAATTTTTCGATTTTTGAATTTTTTGATTTTTCGATTTTTCAATTTTTTTCAATTTTTGAATTTTCCGAATTTGGAATTTTTTGATTTTTCGATTTTTGAACTTTTCGATTTTTTTCAATTTTTGAATTTCTCGATTTTTGAATTTTTTGATTTTTCGATTTTTTTCAATTTTTGAATTTTTCGATTTTGGAATTTTTTGATTTTTTTGATTTTTCGATTTTTGGATTTTTCGATTTTTTTCAATTTTTGAATTTTTCGGTTTTTCTCCGATTTTTGAATTTTGCGATTTTGGAATTTTTTATTTTTTTATTTTTCAATTTTTGCATTTATTGATTTTTTTCAATTTTTGAATTTTTCGATATTTTCAATTTTTGAATTTTTCGATTTTGTAATTTTTTGATTTTTCGATTTTTGGATTTTTCGGTTTTTTTCAATTTTTGAATTTTTCGGTTTTTCTCCTATTTTTGAATTTTTCGGATTTTGGAATTTTTTGATTTTTCGATTTATCGATTTTTTTCAATTTTTGAATTTGTCGAATTTGGATTTTTTTGATTCTTCTATTTTTGAACTTTTCGATTTTTTTCAATTTTTGAATTTTTCGATTTTTGAATTTTTTGATTTTTTGATTTTTCGATTTTTCGATCGATTTTGGAATTTTCCGATTTTTTTCAATTTTTGAATTTTTCGATTTTGGAATTTTTTGATTTTTTTGATTTTTCGATTTTCGCATTTTTTGATTTTTTTCAATTTTTGAATTTTTCGATTTTTCCCGATTTTTGAATTTTTCAATTTTTGAATTTTGCGATTTTGGAATTTTTTTATTTTTCAATTTTTGCATTTATTGATTTTTTTCAATTTTTGAATTTTTCGATATTTTCAATTTTTGAATTTTTCGATTTTGGAATTTTTTGATTTTTTTGTGATTTTTCGTTTTTTGAATTTTTCGGTTTTTTTCAATTTTTGAATTTTTCGTTTTTTCTCGATTTTTGAATTTTTTGATTTTTGAATTTTTTTATTTTTTTCAATTTTTGAAATTTTCGATTTTTGAATTTTTCGATTTTTTCCAATTTTTGAATTTTCCGATTTATCTGGATTTTTGAATTTTTCAATTTTTCAATTTTTCGATTTTTGAATTTTTTTGATTTTTCGATTTTTGAATTTTTTGATTTTTGAATTTTTCGATTTTTTTCAATTTTTGAATTTTTCGATTTTGACGAATTTTTTGATTCGACATCTGATTTGTTGATGTCTTCGTTTATAAACGCTTTAAAGTTGAACGAGAAACAATTTGGCATTAGATAAATTTCGCCGAAGGCAAAATGATATTCAAACCAAATTTGTTTTGGGGAAGATACACATTGCTAAGCGCCTAAGGGTTGCAGATATTGGAAGTTCCAGCCATTTTCGAATATATTTAGTAGCAACGTTATCTAAAGTTTCGCAAATCCAGGTTTTAGATATATCGGTTATTGTTAATTTCCATGAGATTTTTGAGAGTAAGTAGCGACTATATAGAAGAATTTTGTTTCGGGGGTGTAAAGGTAATTTTCAATTTTCGATATAATATCATTAAACAGATCACACAATTCGGATTTGTGTCTTTCATCGGACATGTTGGAATCGAAACAACGACCAAGATAGCGGAAAGATTCTCCGAGTTCGATACGGGGTATAATTAAGTTGGTTATTAACGAACAGCTTAGGTTTGGTACTGGATAGACTTAGATGAGCGTTTTTTAATTCCAAATGAAGGCGTAGCTCCAGGTCCTTGTACGAATCAGCATTGGGATGACAAACCCTTACATCAAAAAAGGCTGATCGTTGACTTTCCCAGAACCAACGCGCACGAATGTCGAGTCTAGCATCAGGTGCTCTGTTGGAGCCTCCATTTAGTTGCTCTCCCAAGATGACTTGTAGGACAGGCTCAACTTGGACTTCACTACAGACAATGTTGAGGAGTTCCGCTTCCAGATCTCTTAACTCATTGTGGCGCATAATTACAAAGCCTCCACGTTTGCAGATCATGGCATGGTCAACCGTGAAGGTATCCCCACATACACATATGGAGGGGATGTCGTCGATTGGCCAATCATAGCGCAGCTTTACGGCGTCCCGAAATTCTCTCTTATTCAAGTTGAATCCCTGTTCTTTTAGGGGAAGTGCTGTGAGCCACACAGATGATCCTTTTTCCGAAGCCACATCTAATATACGCTGAATTCTTGGTGGTGCACTCTCACTAATACGTTCTGCCCTCTCCTCCCACTCTTGCACTCTTTCTTTTCTAACGGCTTGCTTGTTGCGCTGATTTTATATGCGACTCGTCGGGTAGCTGATGTAACTGCGCTACAATCTGATCAACAAGGGGTGCTGTCACTCTTTTTGACGACACATACTGACGTTCTGCCTCATGACTTGGATTTTCCAAGCCCAGGCCACCCAGACGTGCTGGAAGTGCTAGAATGTCCCGATCGAGTTGATTGCACTGGTGATCTGTGATAGCGGGGATGAGAATCTGCGATATTGCCTTTTCGAGTGGCTCTAGTAGGTCCTGGATGTCTGGAAGGGTTCTTAGGAAGTAGGTCCAACGATGTTTCAAACCAAATGTGTATGCGGCATAGGACGCTTGTGGTTGGGACAGTGCAAATTCGGCTAATGCTGTCACTTCGTTGACCCAATTAGAGCCGGACCTTCTCATTAACATATTCCTCCAGATACTCTCGTGAACCTAGCGCTGCTCCCAGATGTTTCTGCCCATGCACTGTTACATTGATATCCGTTCCATGGAAGACTTCTCTCACACTTTCTTCCTTTTCGGGCTTAACAATAATCCAGCATTTCTCGTCTTTCGGAAAATATCCCAAGTTTGGACCAAGAGTATTCAATGCATCCCACCAATCTTTGATTTGTGTAACACGACCAGCTCCACTCGCATCGTCTGCGAACCAACACTGCTTCACGGTAGATACGGCCTGTAGACTCGTGATCAAAGGCAGGGTACTTATCGCATAAAAGGCCATTGCCAAAGGATCTCCTTGTGTGGTTCCTTCTGCTGACGCAATCTCTTTGCCGCCAACAATAAACAGCCGAGCTGGCTGTCTGTAGGTGTTTATAGCGTAGGCAGCGATTATCGAGCATAACACACGGATGTTATGCAGAGCCACAGTTCTGTTGAGTGCATTGAATGCATTAGAAGCATCGATAAGTAAAACAGCATCAATGTCATCAGCTTCAAACAGGGTGTTCGTTGCATGTATTGCAGCCTCACTTCCAGACTTTTGCCCAGCGCATAATTGTAACGATCCACTTGCTTCCACAACGTCCTTCTTTGCAAAGCTCATAACACATTTTGCACTTATCCTTCTTATTACCTCTCCTACTCCGATAGGTCTTACCGCACCTTCGCCTTTGTCTAGGGGAATTAAACGACTAGCAATCAATGCTTCAATAGTGGTAGGATCGATATATTGTGTGCACAAAGTCTTGGTCATTCTGGCTATAGCTTCGCACAGTCTTGTAGATGATTGCTTAAAGGACTTACATGCCAACATTCTTCTAAAGCCGTTAGCATCGACACCAGACGGGCCTCCGGATCCCTTTGTTCTCAAAGCGGCTTGTCTAACCATCTCACCATTGATCTGTGAGTAAACAGATTCGGGTATCTCGTCATTGAGCGGGCCAAATAATACCGATCCTAGTTTTGCTGGTTGTGGCTCAGGATGCTTCTGTTTTAATTGCGTCATTACATCATCAGTTAACGTTAACACGCCGCCATTTGAGGTTTCACTCAGGAAGCGAAGGGCGGAGTTGATTTGACCTTCTAGCACAAGCTTAGCAAAGACTTTAGCTTTATCAGGGTGGTTTGATCCTTTAAATTTTCCAATACGACTTTGTATGATTCGTCCCTCATGTATTAGCTTACTGATCTCACCGTCCTTCCAAAGTGCAAGTCGCTTTGACAAGGCATCTTGATGGTCCTTTGCCTTGGACTTCGGGTTTGGCTTTTGAAGCCCAACGGCGAGAAGTACAAAAACAGCTTTTAGGGAAACATGTTGATTTTCCGAACCGCTATTCCAGTCGTTTATATGCATCGTTATCTGATCGATAAAATCCCTTCCTATTTTCCCGTATGGCACTAGAAAAACATTCTTTTTCCAAGTTGTAATTTCATCATATGCATCTGTAATGTCTGAAGTCGATATAACTATTGTTCGTCCATCGCCTCGCTTCCCCCAATAGACACTTCCCGAATTTGCTTGAGTGCACACGAAACAATAGCTTGGAATCGAGGCGAACAATGTAATCCATTGGAAAACTATACTTATTTCCAATGGATTACATTGTCCGCCTCGATTCCACGCTATTGTTTCGTGTGCACTCAAGCAAATTCGGGAAGTGTCTATTAATCATAGGTGGTTTATTTACATTATTATACTCCGGAAGACAGCCCGAGATAATTGCATTATCTTCGTTCTGGTCGAGTGCTCCCGGAATTTCATGTTGACTATTATGCAAATCGTGGCGGGTTGTTGTTTGCAATTCATTCGTTTGATTTGTATACTGCGATTCATTAATCAAGGCGGTATCTTTCGCCGACATATCGAAACCGTTTGAGCCCTCTCCCGTTTGCGAATCCCGTATTAAATTGTCCTTATTCAACTCCGGTAAATTGCTTTGGTTTATAGCAACAGAACTCTTGATACGTTTCTCGAGTCCCCCAGCTCCAAAGATTTCTCCAGCCTTGCAGCTTGATCACGCAAATTCTCGGGCTTGAGAAGCCAAAATCATTATATCCTTTCGCATCCCATAGCTCCTTCATGAGTTTAATATAGCCTTTTTTCTTGCTATTTCCATCCAACGGTGGTTGTTCCATTTGTGTCATTGCCACAGCCTCGCGTTTGCAACTCAAAAGATCCTCGTTCACTTGATCTGTCCATTTACGCCTGTGTTTATATTGCCTTCGATTAGCCGCCATATTGACTTGCTATCGCTGACATAGAGTTTCACAAAATCGTTTAAACTATTGCCTTTCTGAGTTCGTCTGTTCGAATTTGTTTCGTTTACACAGCAAGCTGGATTTTGTGCAGGAATTTCAACAACAAGAAAATAGTATAAAGTCGTATTTTCGTTTATAAAACACAGACGTTTCTTCCTGACGTGTAGCATGTGGCCGCCATTTGTATGTTGCATAATAATAATAATAATAATAATGGAAACTTTATTTATTGATTATTAAAATATATACAATAATAATAATAATAATAATAATAATAATAATAATAATAATAATAATAATAATAATAATAATAATAATAATAATAATAATAATAATAATAATAATAATAATAATAATAATAATAATAATAACAATAATAATAATAATAATAATAATGGAAACTTTATTAATGGATTTTTTTAAGTTACATACAATTGTAAATCTCACTTATATAAGGTAATTCACAATCGTCTACTTGAATCAATAATACCTATACATACACAACATAACAATAATAACAAACAACAAATATATAGTACAATTTTTAAAAGGTTAATAGTTCTGGATTTGTCCATTCTTTGTTTCTGCAGCAAAATATATAGTAAGTTGTTCTGATCGCAATCGTCGTCATTCGTCTAAAGCAGTATTTTTGGTGGTTTTTATCGAAGCCAAGATCATTAAGCATGTCCATGAAAGTAAAGCATTCTTTTGCAAAAACTCCAAGACTGCTAATTGAAATATTTATAAATTTGACCTTCTCGTAATACTCGCTTTGTTCCCTAATCAATTCTGAGTATTTGGCCTTTTTGCGTTGAACATTCTTTTCGAGATTAGACTCGTACCCAACAATTAGTTCCACGATATATAAACATCCACTTGAGGTTGACAGATGAGCAGCAAATCAGGACGATAACAGTCACCAGTAATGATGGATGGACTTTTGTATCCTGGGAGATCCACATAAAGACATGATCCGCTGAGAGTCTGTAGGTTCGTCGCAAGAAAGTTTAAGACAGAATCGTGTCTCCATGTGTATCGTTCCAGATATAATTGACAACCTGCTACAACATGTAAAAGGGTTTCGGGGGCTAGGCAATAAGTGCAGTCTGAAGTTGTCGATATAGCCCATCTTGCAAGATTTTGCCGCGTTGGGAGAGAATTGTTAATATATCGTACAGTAAAGTTGAATATATTTTTCGGCAAGTTCGATTGACATGTGGACCAAAGTTTCGTCAGTTGGGAAAGAGAGAACTTTGTAATATTGGTGAAGAAGGATCCTTGGCATGTTAGTTGGTTACGCAGTCTATGCTCTTGTCCAGAGCGAAAATCCTTAAGAGCTTGCTTGGTCGAGTGATAGTTGTCGTACTGGATATTTTTGCTGTTACTTGTTGACTTCCAAAGTTCGTTAATAGCTACGTTTGGAGACATTTTTAGAGCTTTACGGAGAACAGTTTGGCATTGGATGAATTTTATAGATGGAGGGCAAATATTGAGACCAAATTTGTTTCGGTTTAGGAAGACAGTGCTCAGCGTTCCGGATATAGATATATCAAGCCATTTACGAATATAACTGTTCACGTTAGAATCAATATTTTCAATGACCCAGGTTTTCGATAGACCAGTAACAGTGAAATGCCATGATAGTTTCGACAAAACATACCGACTGTAGAGGAGGATTTTATTTTTTGGGTGTAGTGGTTTAGAATCAATATCAGCCATTAGTTCTTCAACAAGTGAGGTTAGTTCAGATTTGTGTTTTTCATCGGACATGTTAAAGTTAAAGTATCTTCCTAAGTATTGAAAATTTTCTCCGAGACGGGTCGTTGGAATTAGTTGGTTATTAATGAGTAGTTTCGGCAGATACTGGATTGATTTTGTCAGGGCTTTTTTGATGCCAAAGGTACAACATTTATCCACCCGAATAATCATATTGGACCATTGGCACCAAATAGAGAACCGGTTTAAGAGATGTTGATTTTCCGATTCTTGACTACTTATGACCGCAGCATCATCAGCGAACTGGAACCAGTGGATGGGATTTAAAAACTGGAAGGAGAAACCAAATTGGCGATATTTTTCAGCTTTTATATGTTGGATAAAGGTGTTGAAACACATATTGAAGAGAAGAGGACTGAGACAATCAACTTGCAGTACACCACGGCCAACTGATATGAAAGGGGTACGGAATTCGGAGGTAATTATGGAAGTTTGAAAATTAGTATATAAGCTTTCAACAATCAATTTAATGTGTTCAGGGATATGATGATAATCAAGTACGGATGTCACGAGATTATGATGAACTTCACCAAAAGCATTCTTGAGGTCAAGTAAGGTGATGACAAGCGAGCGTTGTTTGATTCGAGCTTTGTTGATAATGTTGGCCATTTGTGCAGTGTGTTCTAGGGTGCCAGAGAGGTTAGGTGTGAATCCTTTTTGTATATTATGTTCTATAAAGTTATTAGCGGTTAGGAAGGAATACATGGCGTTGCGTAGGCAAGAAGTAAATACTTTTAGTGGAATGCTTTCCAGCGTGATGGGTCGGAAATTGGATGGGGTATTAGGATCACCTTTTTTATGGATCAGTATTGTGCAGGCTTTTTTCCATTCGGAAGGAATGGTTCCAGATAACCACACAGCACGTATCAGGTCAGTTAGGTATGATCTTAGGAAAGGACAACGTTTAAAGCATATGATAGATAGTTGGTCAAGAGGGCATGGAGAACCGGACGCTTTCATTCCACGGATTATATTAGTGACTTGTTGATATGATGGAGGGTCAAGGTCAAATTGAACTTCAGGGTCAGATAACGCAGGAATCCAGCTTGGAATAGTGAACAGTTTATTTGGATGAATTGCAGCAAGCGTTTTAGTGAAATAAGAAAAACATTGTGTCATGTTGAATGATGGAAGAACAGTGTCTTTCCTATTTAAAACATTCTTGATATAACCCCAGAAACTTTTCTGGATATATTTATCATGATTTCGCGTTTGGCTGTTGCTATGGCTATCGTCTAGACCTGACTCACTTGACTGGTTGTTGTTATTATTCGGGCGAAGCTTGGCACGCAATATATGCGATACGTATTTAATTTCGTCCGGTTCACTGATTGTAGATTTAAGGGTTTTCAGAGCTCTCTTTAAGTCCTTGACTGTATAGTCCTTGTACTTATTTACCAGAGAATTGTCGGGCGTTGAATCAGTATGACCAAAGTTTTGGGCAAAATATTCGTATACAATGTTATTTAATAGCTTTATGTTTGAGTCTAAATCTTGAGACGTGATTGGTTGATTCGACTGAAGAGCAAATTTGAAATAATCGTTAGCCGTTGACCATTGTAAAGAACTTTTAGGAAGTTTAATACCTTTATTTAAATCTGGAATATTTTGATTGTTCGATGTCGATGCTTCGTTTTGAATAAATTGATCCATTTCAGGGATATTTTCCGTATCAAAATTGCTTTGCTCCTCTATATCAGTACATAATTCGGTGTTTAGTCCTTGTATAACTCTACAACTGCGCTGATGCATCTTGAGACCTCGCGCACCTTTACACATTTTACCACAGCAACACTTTATTACATTGCGGCTTGAAATAACGACATTGGGAGAATTCATGACGGGCGTTTGATTTCCTGTATTATCCGCAGAGTGATCTTGTTCTGCGTGATGAACTCGCTGTTTACATCGCCATGAATGTCGACCAATGCTAACGAAATCTTTCCCACAGAAATAACAGACGACACCACAGGCGGCCCAGACGTGTATTAGTGTATAGTAAATATATCATTATAGAATATACTACACAGTAAAATTTGTAATGAATTTTATATTTTTAAAATCATATTTACTTGCCTACTTTGATTGTATGTGATCGTCTTTTATTTCTGAGCGACTTTACATTCGATGCCTGCGACTGTCTTCATAGGTGATAGTATTGAAAGCAAAGGCTAATCGTTAGCCTTTGCTTTCAATACTATCACCTATGAAGACAGTCGCAGGCATCGAATGTAAAGTCGCTCAGAAATAAAAGAAAATCACATACAATCAAAGTAGGCAAGTAAATATGATTTTAAAATATAAAATTCATTACAAATTTTACTGTGTAGTATATTCTATAATGATATATTTACTATACACTAATACACGTCTGGGCCGCCTGTGACGACACAAACCAATAACATCAGAATAAAATTTGAACGAATCATGATTACAACATTTGCTGATGTTTAATTTTTAATAAATTTGTGATTCAAGCAATAAAATTGTGATAAAACTGAATAATAATAATAATAATAATAATAATAATAATAATAATGGAAACTTTATTTTGACATTTTATGTATATACAATTATAAATCTCACTAATTAAGGTAATTTATAATTGACTACTTGAACTATTAATTATTGATAAAACTATATTACAGGTATAAAACTAAGAGAAAGCTCATTCTTAAATGTTCATCAAGTCCGGATCGGTCCAATCCTTGTTTCTACAACAAAATATATAGTACGTTGTTTTGATGGCGATGGACATTATTTTCTTAACACAAAAGTTCTGATGTTTTTTATCAAGACCAACTTCGTTCAACATTTTCATAAACGTGTTACATTCTTTTGAGAAAACACCTAAGGCACTAATAGACAAATTAATAAATTTGACAGTTTTGTAATGGTCTTTCTGCTGCGTAATTAGATCCTTGTATCTTTCCCTTTTGCGATCGACGTTGTTTTGGAGATTGGATTCATATCCGACAGAGAGTTCGAGTATGTACAGACAATCATTTGAAATCGAAAGAAGCAGGTCTGGGCGATAAGTGTCACCGGTTATTAATAATAATAATAATAATAATAATAATAATAATAATAATAATAATAATAATAATAATAAAATGTCCCCCCCCCCTGGCCCCCTTACATGTGGTCCCCAGGACTTTCTGGTCCATTGGCGCCAAGTGCCGCCATGTTTTCGATCAAAGAAAGCGAAGAAAAATTTTAAGGTATTCTGTGGAGAGTATTTCACATTTTACCGGTGAAATTCTGCGAGAACGTCATGGCTGACAAGTAAGTAAACTCAATCCGAAATTTCTAAGGCGAAATACTGACCGAGTTTTTAATAGCATTACGTTGTGAACTTGTGAGATTGTAGTATTAAATATTTTATCATTGTTTAATATTGTTGTCGTGCTATAATATATTTGGTCAACCATATGTATATTTGTCTTTAGTCTATATATATTAGCAAAGATTTAAATTAAACAGGCTTGATAATATATTGATGAAGCTGTACCGTAAATATACAGCGTAACGGCGACACAAGTGGTTGCCCGGTTGTTTGCCCTTTTGTGAGTTTTGTCAATATATTCTTGGTTTGTACTGTACTTGACGACCATGTTGGTGTGTTGGTGGAATGCTAAGAAAAGAATATCACTATATAGCAGCTATTGTTCTGGAGTGTGTTTTCTTTCAACATGGCTGCCATATCTTTGTCTTATAAAAATCTCAAGGGGATTGGTTGGAAAGCAGTAAACCACCAATATTATTTATCACGCCATTGTTATAGATCCAACACTGCCAGTGCTGGACTTTCTTGTTGTACGGTTGTAGATCCGACATTAGGCCAAGTAAAAAAACGTGGTTAGTGTCCACGCCCGACCAGTGAAAAAGCCCCCGACCCAACTTTTTTTATTTTTCACTCTACAAATACCATTCTGTTATTTAACAATTATTCGCCGAAGGCGAGGTGATTATCGGGGAATATTCGCCGAGACGAAGTCGAGGTGAATATTCCCCAATAATCACCGAGCCTGAGGCACAAGTCTTTTGTGTTTTTTGGGACTGAATTTATTTTAATTTCGATTATTTCTTTATCAGTAACTTCCACAAAACGGCTTGGCCGCCATTTTGAAAATTTCGGTTTTGTTTACAGGTGAATATAACAGCTTAAAGGGATCCTACAGTCATTTTTTAGTCGAAAAGCCACCTTAAGTATTGTTTACATTTTTTTGTTATTTTTGCTACTTGACATGTGCACCACATCATGCATGCATGCGTATTCCAGTGTGTGGAAGTACTCTGATACTCATGGATACTGCATGTAAGATACAGCCAAACAAATCTCTGTGGAGTCCCCTACTTAAGGTGGCTTTTCGACTAAAAAATTACTGTAGGGCCCCTTTAATACATCAAATTTGACCAATCAACTTGTAGGATTTGTTATCTTCACTTGTGCAAAAATACTAATGCTGAATATTGTTGTACCAAATACAAATTTGAATACAAATTTGTGTTTAAATCTTAACATATTTATAAATAGTCCCTACTATTGTTCTATCACTTCTGTGCAAATATTGATTGCTAGAAAGCCTCGATATATTAAATACTGTAGTGTATGCTCATATTTTATAGAGAGTTTGGCAACCTAGAACGGCAACGACAATGGCAGCAGGGAAATATAATTGCGTATATTATTGTATTTGAGCCAAAGTATACATTACTACACTTAATTTGCCTCTTTAAGTATTCCTGTTTCTTTCAAACGTACCCTTAAGTAAAAATAGTCCTCAAATTCAAATAAAACACCTCAAATAACATCGAACGAATTAACTGTTGCCGTAGTCATGCACCGTGAAAATGATGCAAATCACATACTAGTTTCAACAACTGCAGCATTGCACAATGCTTAAGACCATGTAATTTACATTCGCCTTTGTCTTTGCGGATTAATGCTATTGTTGATGACCATATTGCTGTTGCCATTGCCTTGTATTTGCCAAACTCTCTAATATCCCTGGGAACAAGGCTGATTTTATATACTTAGACTAGGTGCAAATAAAATAAAAATAATAAAAAACCACCCTCCCCCGCGTGCCGGCCTACCCTAAAAGTCAGGAAAAAAGGATGTTAACCAACTAAGTTATTTTTTTACTTGGCCTAACCTATCGCAAGTCGACTACATTGTAGAATAACTATTGTATTTTAAAGGACATTGGCAATAAAAAATTAGTTTAGTTCATTTGAAAGAACTCTTAAAACTATATATTAAACTCTATTACAGATTTTTTATATCTTGCTTAGTTTTCAAAATATTTCGACTGAAAAAATTGAGCTGTTCGCCATCTTGGATTATTGAGGATATGCATGTTACGTCAAGAGAGGGGTCACGCTAAGTTTTTATCTTGAGAGTAAGCGATCAATATGAGTCCAAGTTTTCGTTTCTGGTTGCTGTCTGGAATTTAGAAATGATTAAAAACATTTCAAACAATTTTGGATTGTTACTCGGTCATTTTAGAGTAGTTTTATATGGTTAACCCAACTCCTGACGTCATCAAAACCATATTTAATGAGGTAAAGAATTTTTCCAAGATGGCGGAAAGCTCATTAATTTCGGTCTAAATATTTCGAGAACTAAGCAAGATATGACAAATCGGTAATAGAGTTTAATATATAATTTTAAGAGTTCTTTGAATGAGACAAACCAATTTTTTTATTGCCAATGTCCTTTAAAATTGTATAACTATATAAAGCCATGTAAAAAATTATCCCAGTTTATCATTTATCAAATATCCGTTTTTTATGTCACATGGATTTTTTATTTTTTAAAAAATCACTATTCACGCAAAATTTTCACGATGGTCGGCCATTTTCACGATGGTCGGACATAATATAAAAATATCTCAAAACATTAAAGTTTCAGTAGAATCTTTGTCCTCCTTGTATGGTATTGCACTTGGGCCCTGGCAATTGTATTAATTAATGAAAAGTGTAATAGCATTGAAAATAATAGAAAATAGTTGCATGCAGAAACCCTTACAAAACCATTATGTTTTCCAAATATGAAGTATTGTCATGGTAACATGATAAAATTAAAAATAGTTTTAAAATTGAAAAATCCCCCCAAAATATCACTTTTAATTACAAAATGATCAATTTCCCAAACATATATATGCTAGGTATGTTATTATATGTAATATAAACTTCAGTTTAATGTAATATTCAACCACAAACGCTTCGTAAAATGTTTCAAAATGTTCTTAAAACTAAACTGCCTTTTATCGGTAAACATTGAAAGTTTGAAAATTGAAATAAACTGATTTCAAATTATTGCATGAAAATACTTTGCTTTCCTCTTTATTTAAATATTTTAATATACAAAAATTGGGTTAGGCCAAAAAAAAAATATGTGGGTTTCCGGCTTCCCGACCCTACCTAGCTTTTGGACGTCGAAATCCCGACCCTAAACTTTTTTATTGGATCATGCTTGTAAGTGTTTCCACTTAGAGGAAAAACTTTGTGGAAAATTGAAATTTGAGGCAATATTAGGGAAATTTATCTTTGGATGTGGAAGCACTGACTAAACAAAATGGCGTCAGGTTGTTCGGAAAATTTAAAAAAAAAGTTTAAAAAAAAAGTTAAAACCGACCTACCCTACCTAAGTTTTTATAAGAAGATCATTGATGAACTTTAGACTTTGCTAATGCTTTCATTTTCCCGGGTGCCGTGTAAATAGCCGGGTGGAATTAGTACCCTCG